GGGCTCTGGGCTGATGGCTCAGAGCCTGGAGCCTGTTTCCGATTCTGTGTCTCCCTCTCTCTCTGCCCCTCGCCCGTTCATGCTCTGTCTCTCTCTGTCCCAAAAATAAATAAACGTTGAAAAAAAAATTTTTTTAAAACGTTTAAAAATTAAAAATGAGGAATGGCCCCTAGTAGAGAGAATATAGTAGGTGCTCAATACATGCTCCACCCACACACACACCATCTTTTGATCTGACAATAAAGACCTCATGCTCCCAAAAAACCTTTTTCCTCCTCCTCCTCTCCCTCCCTCGCCCTCCCTTCCTCCTTCCTTCTCTCTTTTATCTTTTCTCTCCCTCCCCAATCTCTTCCCTGCCCCCAGCCCTTCTACATACATGGGACACTCTGCCCTTTAGTGAATTATTGACCTAAAGTTAGTGTGACACGCTCACGAGAGGGGCTGCCTCCCAGCTCAGGTGTGAACAGCACCCACGCCCCAGTCCAGGGGCTGGGATTCCCATCTGTGACGGCAGGGACATACATTCTTGAACAAGCGCAGGGACAAGACGTGGGCTTCTCCAGAGCTGTCGCCATCTGACGTCCCCGCTCCAGGGAGGCGAGCTTTCTCTTAAAGAGGGACTGTCCTTCAGTCAACCCTATCACCTCTGTCTTAGAGAAGAAATTCAGAGTGATCAGGACGAGGCCCATCTCCAGCGGGGCTGACAAATTCTGCACTCAGCAGGGCCGTGCTGGGGGGCACGACCGCCCGGGAGCGAGCCCGCCCCACCCCCCGCCAGACCCTGCTGTTCACCGTGAGCGAGGGGGTCACAAGCCCGTGGGTGAAATAGACAGCAGGCCAGCCAGGGAAAGTGACCGAGTGGCACGCGGTGTTTCCTGTGGTCATTTCCCCGCGAGGGCTGTTTGATCCCACGGGCTGGCTGGATCTTCCAGTTACTTCCAAATGGAATAGTGGAGAGAGCGCTGGCTTAGGGCCCCCTAGACCTGGACTTAAATCTTTGTTCTGCCACCAGTGAGCCACAGGCTTCGGGCCAGACACGTGACTTTTCTGGGCCTCTGTTCAGTCGTCCAAGAGCATGAACGTGGCAGTGCTCCCCACTGTTCATGGGAGTCCTCGCAAGGATCTTTGGATTTCAGAAGATGGGAGCAGTGGTTCAGAACATCGGTTCTGCAGCCCGATCGCCCAGGTCCACCCTGGCTCCGCGTGGGCACCACCAGCTGTGCTTCCGTGGGCAAGTGACTTCACCTCCCTGGGCCTCAGTTTCCTCTTCTGTACAGAGTGGGAATAGCAGTACTTACCTTGGAGGAGGATCACTGTAAGGATTCAGTGAGACAGTAAGTAGAAACCACTTAGCAAAGCACACGTCTAGGTCATAATAATTATAAGAACATATGGGGAAAGACTTGTATAAACTGTGAAGTGTGGTCTTCATGTGAGAATTACTGTTTATCATGAAGTACAGAAACCCAGTTACTACTTTAAGAAAACGTTGTGTATAGTTTCTATTTGTTTAATTTTTTTTTTTTTTTAATGTTTATTCACTTTTGAGAGACAGAGAGCGAGCAGGGGAGGGGCGGAGAGAGAAGGAGACACAGAATCCGAAACAGGCTCCGGGCTCTGAGCTGTCAGCACAGAGCCCGATGCAGGGCTCAGACCCACGCATTGTGAGACCGTGACCTGAGCTGAAGTCGGACGCTTTACCGACCGAGCCACCCAGGCGCCCCTGTTGTGTATGGTTTCTTACTGGTGGTTTTACATCACGTAAAGTCTTTCTTTGGATGAAAGCACTCACGTTGGCCCGCGTGTTGGCAAACTACGAAGTACGGCACGACACAGCGAATGGCCGGTTTCTCGTTCCACTCATCGTACCTTTGTGCCTGTCGTGTGTCAGACGCTGTGGTAGAAACATTTACGCAGATCCTTCCATTTTGGCCTCACTGGGTTAGTATTCTCTGACCCGGTGCCTTTGAGATATCCCAGTCCATGTGTCCAGGGAAAAACAGACATTTTAAGGCAGCTTGTAGAAATGACAGCATGCTCTCAGCCATGTCAAGCTCTTCAGAGCTGTCTTACTATGGGTCTCATCTGCGTGGCGCTTAGGGAATGACCTTGGCTTGGCTTCCCGCGTGCTTTGTTGTCACCAGTAGAGCCCAGGGGCTTGGTCTTAACCCTGGCTACCCAGAAGAGTCCCTTCCTCCTCTGCTGGCCTGCGCTGCCCTTACGAATCAGGGTCAGCCAGCACACATGACTTTTAGTCTCTTGTTTCTGCTTTTCTGCTCAGAGGGAGCGGCTGGTACCAAAAGGTCAAGAAAGCCACGTGACCGGAGGGACGCTGGTTGCCCCTGGTTTGCGAAACCCTTTCTGCTTTGTCCCCAGCCAGACCTGACTTTTCTCCTCTTCCCAAAGCCAAGTACATCGGCTGTTACCTGGATGACACCCAGAGCCGGGCCCTGCGAGGCGTGTCCTTTTTCGACTACAAAAAGATGACCATCTTCCGTTGCCAGGACAACTGTGCAGAACGGTAGGGCTCCGACGTCCCAGGCTCCATTCATTTCAGACCCCTTCCTTCCGTGGTGTTCTTTCCTTTCCTGTGGAAGGGCACAGTGGAGGATGAGCCCGTGGCCCCGTGGAAAGAGTGATACGAGGGTGTGTGTATGTGCACGTGCACGTGTGAGTGTATATGCGCATGCACGCGTGCAGATGAGCAGGACTGTTTGGGAGGTGGTTTGTGGGAGTTTGTGATCGTGGAGTCGTGGGACGCTGTGGCCTGGGTGGGAGTTTGTACGTATAGAGTGCAGAGTCAGCGGGTCATGTTTGTAAGCTTAGTGCACACACGGAATGGTCTTTAAACACTAGCGGCTGTGTGTGCAGGAGGCTTTGTGAATGTGTGTGCAAGGGTCCGGACTTGAGCTTGTGTGTGGGAAAAGCCCACAGGTGTGAATCTGAGTGGGAGGCTTGTAAGATGCCCATGGGAAGCGTGAGGTGGGAGCCTGGGGGTCAGGGGTGCATAATCCCTTGTTCTTCCCCCAGGGAGAAACACAGCGTTTCCCAATTGAAGAAGAAAATGATGTTCTCGAGGAGAACACGCACTGGGGGAGGGAGCTGACTTTCCAAGGGTGGACGAGGCCCCAAAAGACTGGCAGGTGGCGATGGGACCTTCAGTCCAGGCCTGGGCCCCAGCATTGCTGCCTTGGACCTGGAATAGCTTTTTAAAAAAAATTTTTTTTTTTTTAACATTTATTTATTTTTGAGACAGAGAGAGAGCATGAACAGGGGAGGGTGAGAGAGAGAGGGAGACACAGAATCCGAAGCAGGCTCCCGGCTCTGAGCTGTCAGCACAGAGCCCGACGCAGGGCTTGAACCCATGGACCGCGAGATCATGACCTGAGCTGAAGTCAGACGCTTAACCGACTGAGCCACCCAGGCGCCCCGGACCCGGAATAGCTTTGAAGAGGCTGCTGCCATGCTCACTTTCAGACTCTAGCCGGCTGGCCCTGAGGTCACCAACTCTGGAGGACCTCAGCTACATGGCTGTCGTGGAAATGAGCAAGTGGGTGGCCGAGGGACTCCTCCCTGTGTCCTTCATGAGGAAACACTGTCCCCTTTATAATCATCTGCCTGAGCCCAGGGCTGTCTCCAGCTTGGGAAGGTCTCTGAGCCCTTGATGGTATCGATTCATTAATTTATTTGTCAGACCGTGGGGAGACCCAGGTGAATTCCACAGCGTCCATGGCCCCATGGAGTCACAGCCTTGATGGGGAGACAGACATGTGAACAGAGAAGGGCAGTAGGGCGGGGTGAGGGTTCAGATGGAATGAATCACAGACGAGAAATGCAGAAGAGGGCCCCCAGCCCGCCTGGGGTGTCAGGAAAGAGTCCCAGGAGGTGACAGCCAAGCATCAAAGGACGAGTCAGATGAACTCACTTAATCCCCTTCAGTTCAGCAAATGTTTATCGCTGCTCACGTGTGTGTGAGGTGCTGGAGGTGCAGAGATGAGTCCGCCATAGCCCTGCCCTCGGGGGGCTCCCCAGCTAGTTGGGAAGACAGAGGCATGAGCAGGCTTGGGCAGTAGAAAACCAACAGCTTACACGTGGTGGGCATTTCCCTGTGCCAGGCACTGTTCTCGGCACTTGGCAGATATTAACTCTCATCCACCACGAGACCCCAAGAGGCAAGAATGTTGTGATCCACATTGCACGGATCGAGGACACCAGGGTATGGAGACCTCAAGCGTGATGGGTGCTGGGCTGAGGGTGCCGCTTAAAGTACAGGGGGCCCGTGAAGGTTGAGGGAATGGAGGGCTCAGGAAGAGTTACAGAGGTGAGATCTTAAGCCAGGTTTTGAAGGATGAATAGGAGTTTTCTAGGTAGTCCTAGGAGGACAGAAGTAACAGCACACTCAAAGATCAGAACTCCTGAAACATCCTAAATAGCCAGCATCCTTGCATAGGCAGTGGGGAGGGGGTGCACAGAAGGTCCAAGGGGAGTAGTCTAGAGGGGAAGCGGCAAGGCTGGCTGGAGCCTGCTGACACGGAGCCTTGAATGCCACCCGAAGCATCTGGCTTGGCCACAGGCAAGGGGGGAACCGCTGGGAGGCGTTCATCAGGAGAGTGGTGTCCATTCATTCGGCAAATACTTATTTAACATTTACCCGATGCCAGGCATTGAGAATGAGGCAGTAGGTAGCAGGGACGGGGAGGAGAGGGGCAGGGAGGGTGGATCTAGGGCAGGGTCCTCAGCCCGGAGTGAACACGAACATCACCCAGAGTCTTGCAAAACCAGATTGCCCGTTCTCACTTTCTGATTCAGTGGGCTTGGGGTACGGCCCAAGAATTTGCATTTTTCATGAGTTCCAAGACTGTCCAGGCTCTGAGGGTCCTGGGACCATGGTTAGAGCATCGCTGCGCCGATTTTCACACTCAGCTGCACGTTAGGGTCACAGTGCCAATTAAATTAGACTGTCTCGAAATGGGAGCCAGGTGTGGCATTTAAAAAATGCTCCCTGGGTGATCCTAATGGCCGTCCATGTTAAAGAACCCCAGATAGGAGGGTCAGTAGGCTGAGCCAAGCCATCTGGAAGCTTATTCGCCTGCGGTGGAGCCCCCGGGGGGGGGGGGGGCGGCCGCGGGTTTAGAGAGTGGAGAGGTATGATCTGTTTTAATTCTGGAAAGATCCTCCCGGCAAGGGCAACAGGAGGTTTATCGGGATCAGTAGTCTGGGGCGCTCCCAGGGACACCCCAGTGGCCTGAAGGATGGCAAGGCTCACTCCGTTTCCCTTCCCAAATTAGTTATCCGTTGCTGGGCAACCAATGATCCCCAAATGTAGTGTCTTAAACCAACAAACGTTTGTCATCCCACACCATTTTTGGGTGTCAGGAAATAATGGCCGGGAGTGGGATTAGCCAGATGATTCTGCCTCAGTGTCCCCATGGGCTTGCTCTCAAGGGACTGCAGAGACCTGCGGCCTCTGAGGGCTTGGACAGGGCTGGAGAATCCCTTCCCGAGACAGGCACGCACCTGGCTGGTGGCCTGAGGCCTCGGGTCCTCACCACACGGACGTGTCCTTGGGGCCCGCTTGTGCGTCCTGACGTGGCAGGTGTCTCCTGTCCAAGGGAGGGGCGAGGAGGAAGCTCCCACCGGCTCTGGAGTTACAACACCCACTGGAAGTGGTTTTTTTTCTTTTCCCTTGGAAATTGTTCCTTCTGTTAGTGGGTCCAGTTACATGAGAGGGGTCCGGGGTACCCCAGAGCAAAGGCTTCAGAGAGACGGGAAGACTAAGACGGGTGGAAGCAGGCTGGCCGAGCCCCAGGATTTCGGTGGGGTTCAGGCACCGAGACACCCGTTTGGTTTAAGCTGCTCTCCCTGTACCCGGCCAGGCGGGTGTGTGGAGCGGGCATGGGCAGGTGCCACCCGGAGTCGCTGAGGCATGTGGGGCACGAGGCGGGGCGGGTCTGTCTCTCCAGCTGCCCTCAGGTGTCCAGAGTCACGACCTGAGCTGACCGTTCCCCTCCGGCCAGCCTTATGTGGCCAGCATTCTGCAGGCTGCTGCCGGAGGAGCCTTCCTGGTTCCGCCTCCGAGGCGACAGGGGCCGATGAGGGCTTGTCCTAATCCTCTCCCTTCGCCCCTACCCGCTACAGCCAAGACAGGCCGTGGCGTCTCATCTGTTTACAGAACGAGTGTCCACAGCGTCCTTTTTAGGAAACGATCCCAAGGCCAAGGGGAAAGTAAGTCAAAAACCTTGCCGTGCCTGGAGTTTTGTTTTGTTTAGTTTTAGGAAAGGGAATTTTTTTCCTTGGCTGGATACGTGACCTTGGTTCTGCCATCTTCCAAGGGGATACGAGAGCCCCTGCCTCCTCCCTTCCTTCCAGCTTTTCTCAAGGGACATGGAGGCATCATTTTGGGGGATGTTTCCTGCAATAAAGGGGCTGGACTCTGGAGCACGGCTCTAGGCAGGGAGGAGCAAGGGAGTGGGTTGGGACAGAAGGACCCTGGGCTTGGAGGGGTGTGTGTGTGTGTGTGTGTGTGTGTGTGTGCGCGCGCGTGTGTGAAGTGTGCCACGTGTGGAAGTGTATAAGGTGGGTGTCAGTAGGACACAGTGTGGCTATGGGGGGGGGGGTGTCCCTGGGGGTCCTTGTCCCCAGAGCCCTCCAGTTGCCCTAGGTCTCCACTTTGCTGGGTGAGCCTCCGTGTCCCCGGGGTCTGCATGGTGGTAGCTGCCCTGGACTAACAGCAGCCTTCCCCAGGGGTTACCTGTATGCCGGGCTGGAGTTCGGTGCGGAGTGCTACTGCGGCCACAAGATCCAGGCGACAAACGTGAGCGAGGCCGAGTGCGACATGGAGTGCAAGGGCGAGCGCGGCAGCGTGTGCGGCGGCGCCAACCGCCTGTCCGTCTTCCGGCTGCAGCTGGCCCAGGAGTCTGCGCGCAGGTGTACGTGAGTTGGCCCCGCCCCTCCCCGCAAGGCCGCCTGCTCCCTGCCCTGCGCCTGCTGGGGCTCCCCAGCGCTCCCCGCAGCCCTGCGCCCGCCCCACCTTCCACCGCGGCCCTTGCCGAACGCTTTGATCCGTGGAATTCGGATGTTTCCACGAGCTGTGTCCCCTCCCTCCCACCCAGAGCGGCCTCCTGTCTTCCCGCCTCCTCCCGTCTTCCTCCTTGACAGAGTGAGCTGGAGCCTGAGCTCGGCCTGCCTTCCTGATTTTCTGAAAGCGTATTGTCTCTAATGATGATGCAGACAGAGATAATGACAAAAGCAGACACTTGGTCCTTTTCTCAGTGCCTTATGTGGAGTAGCACATCCTCACGGTGACCCTGGAAACGGGCGCTATTATTCTCTAACTCCCAGTTTACAGTAAAGGAAACTGAGGGTCAGTGTCCCATAGCAGCAGAGGACTTAAACCAGTTACAGGGCCCACGTCTTTCATGCTCTGCTTCGGTCTTACTGGACGTGCTCTCCAGTTTCCACACGGAGGGAGGGAGGGGAGTGAGCATGGACCCTCTTCCGCAGACATTGTCCCGCCGTCCCCCTTCTGGAACAGGTAATGTCTGTCTGGCGGGAATCTGCTCTGTGCCAGGCACTGTCCCAAGCCCACGACAAGCCCAATTTCATTTCTCTTCCTTACAGCCTCCGTAAGTGGTTACCAGTGTTAATCATTCCCATTTTGCACCGAGGAAACTGAGGCTTATCGAGTTTAAGTAAACCTGCCCAAGGCCACAGTGTATTTTAAGGTGATCCGCAAACCTATGAAGATTGCTGATGACCTTGACAGGAGATGGAGGGCTGGGTTTCTCCCGATTACCCTTCTGATGCAGTCCCTGAGGCAGGGACAGGAACCCACAGCCACACGTCTGACCCCTGGGCCAGCGTTTCACATTTGAATGTGCCCGTGAACCCTATGGAGATGTTGTTACAGAGCACGTTCGGGTTCGGCCGGTCAGGGTGAGAGTTTGCATTTCTGAGGAGCTCCCAGGTGACGCTAGGCTGCTGGGCTAGGGGCCACGCTTTGAATAATAAGGCCTCAGACCTCAGCAGAGGTGACGCTGCCTGCCCAGGACACAGGTGGGTTTGGCGGAACGTAGAGACAGGCTTTTCCCATGGGAATGCCATTGTTGATAAAAATTCGTGGTGGGTCTGCTTGGCCATGTGTTCCGTTTCCCAAATCCCGTGTGTTCGAAGCCCCACTCGGGCTTTTGCCGCGCAGTAGGGTGGCGCGTGTTGCCAGTTTGCAGAGGTGCGGGTTGCTGCCATCGGAAGCACTGTCTGCCTCCCCACGGGGGCGTCAGTTCACCCCCGGGGCTGGAGTCCTGGCTGGCCGAGGTGGCGTGTGAAACCCAGGCGGGAGAATGGCCACACAGCGAGTCCCTCGTTTGGCCGCTAGCGTAACGAGGGTTTTTTTTTGTTTTTTTTGTTTTTAATTTTTTTTAACATTTTTTATTTATTTTTGAGACAGAGAGAGACAGAGCATGAACAGGGGAGGGGCGGAGAGAGAGGGAGACACAGAATCTGAAACAGGCTCCAGGCTCTGAGCTGTCAGCACAGAGCCCGACGCGGGTCTCGAACTCACGGACCGTGAGATCATGACCTGAGCCGAAGTCGGATGCTCAACCGACCAAGCCACCCAGGCGCCCCACGAGGTTTTAATTTGATGGTGAAACTACCATCCTCACACTGATCCCCTTATGCCAGTATTTATGTTATTTTTATGGTGACCTTGACTATGTGAAGAGATGGCCCTAAAATCATGGGCATTTAGTGAGAAGGCTGCTGCCGCTATAACATCCTAGTGGATGACGATGGGCTGGATAACAAGAATAAGGCCATGTAGATCGTTAGATATCAGCCAGACCTGCTTTTGGTTAATGTTCAGATTGACTGGATAACCTGGACGTATCCCCTCTCTCTCTGTCTCTCTCTCTCATGCTCGCGTGCGCGCACGCACACACACTATTGTGATCACCTGATGTGAAGCACACTGTCACAGGCCATTGAAGATGTTCGGTCCGTTGAAATATACAAGCCTCGGCACACAAAGACAGTAGATTCTGTACAAGGGGGTGTGTCTTGCCCTTGTAGCAGTGGGGGGGCTGTGTGGGTGCTGCAGAGTAGCCCCTGAGGCTGGCGGGGATGTTCCTGCACCCCTCCGCTTGCCCACCTCGGCAGCAGAAAAGTTAGCCGGGATGGTGTTTTGTTCCATCTGAGAAAGGAGTCTTATATTTATGTCCCAAGAGGGGAACGTAGTCATGTCTGCTGAGGGTGGAGTCTAGGCTTCTCCAAGTCCACCGCAGTTGTCCTGAATCATCACTGTACAAGATTGGAAGCTTGGGCACCTTCAGCTGGAGATTCCAGAAGAAAATTGAAGCCTTATTAACCTCAAGGCTGCTATGGCTGAGATAAGAATGGAAGTGGCTTGGATAAGGAGATGGATGGTTGACGATGTGCCAATCCCGGTGGGCGCCCATTTGATACCATGGTGTCTGGAGAGAACATGGAGACCATTCATTGAACCAAAACACTTGATGAGCATCCACGGGGATTAGGCATGGAGAGGATGAGTGGAGAATAAAGCACAGTCTCCATGGTTGAGGAGCTCATGGTCTAGTGGAGAAACAGGTCCGGCACCAGTGGGGTCTGTTCAAGCATGGGGGTGTATATATGGGGGAATGGCAGGGGTTCTGTCTTCAGGAGCCGAGGGAGCAACATTTGGGTGGGATCCCATTTTAAGGAGACTTCTGGATGAGAGGGAGAGCCATATATTCCAGCCATGAACAAAAAGTCCAGGGTCAGCAAAGGTCATGTGTTGAGTGCCCTATTGGGAGCACCTTCTTATATGCTGATGTCCCGTTTTAGAGCTTTAGGAACTGAAACTCTGCACAGAAGAAGGCTGTTTTATTAGGGCCTTGAAAGATGCATGGGATTTTTTTCCTGGTGTGGAAGAGGAGGATATCCAGACTGAAGTTGCCAAGGGGTGGGAGGGAAGTCTAGGCAAAGGGAATGGGGTGTGCAAAAGCCTAAAGGTAACTTTAGGAAATGATGGGAAGGCATGATTTTTCCAAGGCCGCAGTGCTTCTTAGGGACTGAGTTTGGGCTGGAACCCAGTTCCCTGACTGCTCGTTTGGGTGCTCACTCACTACAGTGCTGTAGACACCTTGACCTCTTGTAAGGGATTCTGGACCTCATCTCCTCTCTTTTGGGAGAAGTCCTTGGATCTAGCTTACCTCCTCCTTTCCCTGACCTCTGATCTCTCCTTCTGCCCCATTTGCGGACTCGAAGCAAAACAGAATTGCCAGTGTCCTTGTGACTGGGTCAGAACCCAGTGGCACCTTTGGCTTCCCATTCCTGGACACGATTTATACACAAGTAAATCAGAAAGGGAGGCCTTCCGAGGTACTGGCACACGATAGCAGCGAGTATTATACCAGGCAGGGAAATGAGTAAACACACCAGGAAACAGGTATGGTGGAAACCGGATTCCGTTTGTGGAGTCATTAGTTGATATCAACAATGTATCTTAACTGCGTTTCCCTGAGCAGTGGCACAGAATTCTTAATGATTAGAAAGATCCAAAGGAGGCTTCTTGTCTCCCGAGCACCACTGGTGGGGCATACACCTTGCATAGGGAGGCAGCCTACATGTTTCCGAGGTGATGGAATGCTCTTACAGTAAGTAGTGAGAGCATTAAAAGGTTAGCAGAGCAAATGTCTGCAGGCACCCTGCTATTCTTCCTTGACACAGACTCTCAGGCACGTGGACTCTTTGCCCTTGTTACAAAAGAACCGAGAAATGGACTTCCTTCTTGGTTGGATTACATTTTTCACAGCAGTTTGCTAAATGTGTCAGCAAGTGTAGCTCTCCTCCCAGGGGCAGAGACCTGCCAGCGATTTGAGAACGTTACGGCTTTACAGGATGTTGCAAGAAATTTCATTTGCTTGAAAGATTCTTGCAAGATCTGTGTTAGAAGATTCCTTAGAACTACATTGAATGTGTTAGATACACGTCGGGCCCGTTGGGTGGCTGTCCATGGTGCTGACCGTCCTTTCGTGCAGCCTAAAGCCCCCAAAACTGGAGGCAGGCCAGATTCTCCCAGGATTCAGCACCTTTTCGTCTTGCTTGCTTGCTTGTTTGTTTGTTTTCTGTCTTGGTGGAAGTATTATGAAGCTTACAGTACCATGGAAAAAATAGATCCTTGACTTATGGCTCACACTTTACACAGTGTATTTTGTGTACTGTTAGTCTTGGCAGTTTTTTGTCTTTGAAAGTTAGAAGGGGAATTTCGTGCAGCACTTGTGTTGTGCTCACCGATCCTCCATTCTGGTGGCTTCTGCCAAGGGGAGCCTCAGGTGTTCGTGGCAAGTCACACTGGATGGATGGACCATGCCTAGCTCCTCCTTTGCCAGTTCTGGAGGTCTCTCCTTCACTTTAATAGGTGCCCGGGACCCCTGAATTGTATAGTTTATATGAATCTTCATGAGTTCTGCTGTGTAGGGTCGGGGAGATGACAGCTAGAAAAATTTCCTCCTTCTGCATCCTGGGGGGGGAGAATGGGTTTGCTCTTCGCCCCTAAGCAGAGTCCACAAAGGCTAGGGGGGCAGCGTAGGTTTTGAAATCAGGCAGACACCGCTTGTATCCCAGCTTTCTCACTTACTTGCCGTGTTGCCTCTGGCCACGTTGTTTCCTCTCTGAGCCTCAAGCGCCTCATCTGTAAAATGGGGACAGTTCCAACCTTTAAAGATTGCTGTGACCACCAAGTGAGATGAAATCGAGAAAGCACATAGCACGAGGGTATTGAGCCGTTGTGATGCCCCTCTCTTCCTAGAATGAAAACTCCTTAGTGCGCTCCACGTAGCACCCAATTCAAGCCGTTTGAATTTGCAACAGCCCTCAGGAGCCTTTGGTGCTGCCTAAAAATAGCTGGTTTGAATTCTTCTCGGACAGT